GTCCTTTAATTCGGCCCCAAGACACGAATGAAAGCCAGAGGATCAGCCCAGGTGCTCAACTTCTCAATCCTCAGCTGTGGAATTTCCAGGCTCAATTATTTTTATGTTCCTTTTTGCTGAATAAAGCTAAAATGCTGCGTGCCATATATTTGCTCATCATAAAAGGTTCTCTCCCAGGCAGGAAGAGCTCCTTTGCTGGCAAAGCCTGGCTGGCTGATGAGGCTCCCAGCCTTTTTGTGGGGTTGGGAGTTAAGAACTTCCACATGGTCCCACTCTTTTGTGAATAAGCAAAGCAAAGCACTGGCTCCATGTCCAACAAATGCRTGGAATATGGTTTGAATTCTCTGGTTTGAAATGCGAAGGATAATGTTGATTTTGTTAAGGTAAATGTKTTTAATTGAACGCTGGGTAAACTCRACTCTCACTGGGCCATAATGGGCTCTGGGCATCCCTCCAGCACAGCAGTACCAAAATGTGTCTTTTAGTGATTCCAGGASWGAAATGCAAAATTAAAATTTAGATRAAAACAAGTGAGATGGAGTCCATCCCCAGTCTCTGAAAAAGGACACTTACAGAGCTGGAAATTATTGCTTTATTAACATCAAAGCTCTGCAGTACCTGTTAATGTAGATTGTTTGGGGCTTTTTATTGGGATGGTGGGAATAGAAAAAAGGGCAAACAGACAGAGAAAATGAAGAAATCTCTGTGTGAATCTGTCTCATCTACAGGACCTGGGTGTGATCCTGATGCAAAGGGAGCTGAGGAGMTCATTGATGCTGGAATGCTCCAACTCTGCATCCATTGCTGGGAATTCAGGAGGTGACAATGATGAGGAGACACGTGGGTGACAGCCCCAAAGGTATTTAAGAACAGACCAAACACTCTTGCAGCAGATGATGCCCTTTCATTTATTGCTAATCTACCAAATACAGGCAATATATAAAAATACTTTACAGATAGCAAAAACTCATTACATTGGAGGTTAACAACGTTGTTGTAGGAATGTGAATGATACAAACCCCTTTCCAATTGTGAGTCGGGGTTCTGAACAATTTGATTCAAATGACATCTGTTAGGAGGATGTGAGTGACAATGTCTGTTAAAATATGGCTTTAYCTGAACACCCAGGGCAGGGAGGGCTGGATTTGGGGGGAATCATTTCACAATTGMACAAACACTCAGACAAAAATGTGAGTCCCAGGCAGGCCCCACTGTTCAGACTGTGCCCAGGTGTCACCACCACACCAAAACAGSTTCAATCCTGCAATAACTGCAGCACAGCTGGGCATTTCTGGCTTTTAAAAACATTTYTCATTTCTGAGACTCAGTCCTTYTGGAGCTTTCTACCCAATGTTGYTATTTTATGAGTTATAGAAGGAAGCTCAGCCCCCCACCTTCTCCCCAGGTTTGCAGTYGAGATCATCTTTTACAGCATCAGCACCTTCAGGTGAAGTTTAYTGCAATGTGCAGGCACTAATTGATATTTTTGTACCCCTGGAACAATAGAAATGGCTAAAAAAAAACCTCAAACAGAGCAGAGTGGGYTGGATATTGGCTGGTGGGTAAAGAAGTTGGTATCAGCTGTCAGCCCTGCAGTTATTACAGATACAGATGCCAATCTTATGTCAAACGTTCCAAAAGGTGGATTATTCTTTGTGAATTCATTCATTCATTGAGATGAATCAAGAATTACAGCCTTCCACGTGTGATGGCAGTGTTGCCTCACAGGTAAGAAACCACTGCAATGTAAATGATGAGGAAAAGAGTTGATTTCTGGAGAATTTTACAATTCACCCCATCAAGACCCAGCAGTGGCATCTCTTCCTATTGCACAGGAATATGGAACATAAATAACAAACACTCAGAATCGCAGCGAAACTGGAACATCACATGATTTGAAGTGGTGCAAAAATTATGAGGATCTGAATCAGTTTAAGATTTGAAATCGAGACAGTCATTTTCTTGAGTCCCATCTGGCAGATAATTGTTCCTTATTAAGTAGCAATTTGGAAAGAAATGCAGGGGAAGAAGTCAGATTGAAATATTTAGAAACATATTTCTCAAGCGTTTAAAGCTGTCTTTGAAGTCTTTGGGAAATTTATCAAATACATCTTCTTTTTAGGACAACAACAATTCAACAACAATTGCATAGAAAAGTAAGGCAATCAGAAATCAAAAATTGATCCTTTATAAATACAAACCTTAATCCAAAAGTTGTTGCATATTTGGTCACACAAAAAAAAAAAGCACAGTGACTGTTTTTTTGTAAAGGTATGGATTACAAAATACACTTTAAAAACATGCTAGCTACTTTGAGAACTGGTTTAGATATGTTAAGAAGCAGCAGCTCTTTATACAATAGAGAATAACATAGTGCTGGTTTTGGAAATAGTCTACATTCAGGAAATGCTGTGCTCCTGCAGGGACAAGGGAGGGATACATATTTACACGAATACAAATAAAGCAAGTGCAAAACCCACSACTCTCCTACATTCTTTCTACCAATAAAAACAACATACATGAGACACTTTCACTCCATTGCTGTTGCTCAGATCTCACATTTTGCTCATTCTCATGGAGAAAAACAAATCCAGGACTTTGTATTTCATTGCAAGTATCTTCACAAGCAATTCCCCTCCTGGCAAACTCGACTTCCAACACTCATAACTGACAAAAAAAAATCTTCCTGATATCTGCCCACTCCCATTCCACTCTCAGACTGTTTACATATCATGAATGATGATTTTTATTCTACGTATATTTGATGCAGAAGTTTATAGAAGCTCATCCTGTATTTGCAGCCAAAGCTCGGATGGAAAATGGAAGTAAAAAAAAAAATACACACACACACCACRAAAAAAAAGAGATGAACTTTTGAGTTCCAACGAGCCCCATGAACTTCACATGGTGCAACTTTGATGGAAAATGCATTAGAGTTGTTCACCCTGCAGACAAGATATTTGTAGGCCTTTGGTACAATGGCAGGAAGGCACTGTGGTGAAACATTCAGATAACTGAGGAAAGACAGAATTTCCTCATGTGCAAATATGGCTATCTTCCAGATAAAGTGAGAACAAATTGCTCACAAAATGCTATTAACTCTTCCAAGGTTAAGCTTGTGCTTCTACAAAGTTGTATTAAGTAACAAAAATATTAATACTGCTCAGCAAGAACAGGAAATAATTTAGTACTGTATATTGTGAAATTCTTCAGCCTAGCTATATAATTTTAATCTATCTGTTTTCTCTTTAAAGAGACAAAAAAAGGAAATAGTGAATGCACAACTATGGCTGAGGATGCTCCTTTTCTCCGGAAATAAATAGAAAGTTGGTTGAAGCTGAATTGTTTAATGAGTGCTGCAGGAAAAGCAGACAGGGCAGTGCAGGCTGAGCTGCTGGAGCTGGGATTTCAAACCCTCAGATGCTGTGGGCACAATCCACAGCAGGGTCCCAGCTCTGGAAGGGAAAACCACGGATAAATCACACCCAGAGAGAGCCTGGGCTGGCASGGACCTGCAGCAYCACCAGTGCCACCCCTGCCAYGGCCCAGGCTGCTCCTGGSATGGTTTTTATCCCAATTTCTCATTTAAAGCTGCTTTCTGTGGGTTTGAAGCCATTCCCCTCCTCGCCCTGTCACTRCCAGCCCCTGTAAATAGCCCCTCTCTCTATGGGTGTATGATATAAATTACATGTATATGTACACGGACAGGTTAATTCCTATGCATTAAAAATGAGGAAGGAATACAGTTAAGGCAAGCATGACTAGAGCACCTGTAGCATGTATGAAAAAAACAAAAAAAAAAACCCAAAAAACCAAAAAATCCAACCAAAAAATCAGCCCCAAAAACCTCAAAAACCCCAAAACAAACAAAAAAATAAAACCCAAAACAAAAAAAAATAAAACCCCAATGAAACCAAAACCCAACTTTCTCCCCCTCTTTATAGCAAAGTGCCTGAAGAACACATAAGCCCTGTGAAAATGTTGTGTATTTTGGTTACAGAGCCCAAAATGAGCAGCAGAATGAGGCACCCCAGGAGTTTGGGGTGTTGGGATACAGGAGCTCATTGTGGGACGGAAGATTTGGATTCCCAAAGCACAGAAAGAAGCCAGGGTGTGCCATTAATGCCAGGCTGGGACCTGCAGRGCTCTGCTCTGGTTCTGCATCTGAGCTGGGCTCAATCTGGAGTTTAGAGCAGCTCTTGTGAAATTCAGGYTTCTGTTTAAAAGCCAATTGTAGCTGAGAGCCAGGTCAGGTGTTCTGAAGAACCCAATGCTTCTGGCTCCCACTCTAAACCCCAAGACCCTGCAGAGTTTAAGCACCAATTTTTAGTAGCAGAAAATAYATTCTTGAAGAGATTTCTGTTGGACCAAGCACACGCCCTGCAGGGATTGTGCAAAAWCTTTCTCGAGACATTGGGGAACCAATTTTGGGGCTGCTCTGCTGTATTCCCATCACCTCATTCCTGCTGGGGACACGCTGCTRTTCTGCAAAGTTCACTGGGACACAACTGAAAACTGGATTAGTTTGTGCTTTCCAGCACTCCTGAAAATATCAGCATTCCTTATCTATAAACCAGGAGAGATTATTGTGTAATTCCTAAAATATTCTGGTTTATCTGCACACTGATTCCCCCCTCAGGGATTCCATTAATGGCACTGGGGAGGTGCAGATTCTCCTGAATGTTCTGATTTGTGCAGCTGCAGGTGGCAGTGGTTACCTGGAATGTGCTAAGCAGGAATCAGGACAGGATATTCTACCACATGAAGCAAAACAGAACAAAATACTGACTTCCCATGGAAATTTTACCTTTCCAGGAATTGCTGGCAGCTTTGCAAAGCTAAAGAGGCAAGGTGAATATAAATAAGTGTATATTTTCTCKGGAATGTATGGCTTCTGTAAGATGCAATGATTTTCCTCTGCAGCTTGGGTGAGTAAATGTTCCAGCTGCTAAATGAGACAAGTTATGAGCCAATAGCAGGGTCTACATGAAAAGAAAGAAACAGCAACAATTTGTTGGAGAGAAAATATCTAAGATGTGTTCATACACTGCCTAAATATAAACAAGGATCAATCAGAAAATCTTTGGGTTTACTGTGGCTCCTATATATTAATCTCTGTTTTACCTGGGTTTATTTTACCTTGGGACAGGTGCTGCAGCTGTGAATTGCTCTTTTCACTGCCTGTTTAAGAGAATCCCTCTCTTTCAAACTCCTATCCAGCCTGATGAGGAAAATGAAAAGATCTCCTGGATTCAGCTGACATCTCCTGTTTGAAACACCAACCACAGTGCTCACAGAAAACTGTCTTTTGATCCCAGACTGGATGAAGGCTGAGCAAGCTCGGGCTGCCTCCGTTTCCTACAATAATAAAATATCTCAGGAGRGCTTTGAAAGCTGGAGGGCAAATCATTGTTAGTGACGTGCAGAAGGTTTATATTTCATGAATATATTACTCTGTGTTCCCCTTTGCCAGCCCAGTGTCCAGCCCAGGCTCGGGGCCCTGCTCAGGACAGTTCCCATCTGGATGGATGGACGGACGGATGGATGGATGGTCTGCAGCAGGCTTGAAGTGTTTCCTCAGACAGATGCCGTGTTCCAGGAGAACAATGTGATCTCTGGATGAAAGGAAGGGTGTCCTCGTGCTGTTTACAGAGAGAGGTGGCGAGTTGCTTAGTCAAGGCTGTCACTTGGTGCCAATTCATTGTTCCTCGCACCGAGCCGGTGCCTGGAGATGAACCGCGAAGGAAGCCGGAGGTTGCAGGGGCACTGGAAGGATCTAAGAGGTCACTCATGGAAGGAYTTGGTAAAAGCTGTCTCACAAATCTCTTCTTCTATGTCTGACTTCTGGCAGGGAGTCCAGAAAATTCCTTCCTGATAATTTCGTTAACTGGGAAATAAAAGAAAGAGGAGGAAACATTAAAGCGCTTTCGACATCACAACGAGTAAAAAGTAAAAGCAATCCTTGGGCAGTCGAGCTGAAAACATCCYCTCTGCATTCACAACCATTTTATTAACACCTAAACGGTCCTGTTTGCCCAGACCACCCATTTTTGGGAATGCAAGGGGAAGCAGTGGAGGAGGGGTTTCATTGTGCTCCATAAAGCTTCCATAAAGCACAGGGACACTGCCACAGCCCCCACAAACCCCTCTGTCACAGACACCACCCTCACCCAGAGAGAAAGGAACAGCTCCAGACACCTCAGCATGCTGACATTTTCCCTAGGCTGAAAGAAGAATATTTTGAAGAGAAAAAGGCAAGGTTTGGAGGAAATATAGTGGAYAGTGATGAAAACAGACACTGCAATTCAGGTGAAAAAGTGTTGGCTGCTTTGCTTTTGGGTGGTTTATGTTTGGCTATTTTTAATCTCACTCTAGATTCTACCTGCTTCACATTTTTATTATCATTTTAGACTGTAGCACAGACAACTTCCATGCAGCACCAGGACACTGGGACAGGTTTAGTACTAAAGCTCAAGGGAAGACACTGAAGAACTTCACTGTTTAAAAAATCA